AAAGTCATGAAAATGATTTATTACATGTTTAAAAGTGGGACATAAGAAATTGGCCAAATTAATCCATAAATATAGGCAAAATGCTTTTAATCATTTTAGGGAGTTTGCATTTGCATAGAATGAAATGGGAGTCAGAGGACCTTGTGCATCTTGTATTTACASCACTGGCTGGATATTGCTTTCATTTCTGCTGACACATCTCTAACAGCTTTTCTTCTCATTGATCATTTGTTTAGCTAAGTTTTTGAGAAGTGTCACAATCTCTACAATACTATGATTCTTCTCTAAACCTCTGAGGGTATCTGCATTTTGATTCTGAAGATGAGTCATAGGGAGACCTGTTTTCTTATGTCTTTGGAGAAGAAAAATTTTCAGAAATCATGTCTCCAGGTTCTCACTTATTTCAATTCCACAAAGACTCTCAAAACATCAATTTATGCATAACTATAGATCTTCTCCATTTCAGTAAATTTTTCTAACTATTTTCAAAATCTTTTTGTCAATCCCTTTCATGTCTTCAAGTGTTTATTCCTCAAAGGTCCTGTTTCTATGATTTCTATGATCTTACCCTATTTATTCTCTTTTGGACCTCAGTCTCTAATTCATTATTCCACACCTAKGTTTCCAGGGATTTGCGTATTTTTCCTTACATGACAGTTTTTTATCAAATCTCTTTTCATCATCCTGTAAGARAAGTTGTTCAGGCTCAAATTTATGCAATAGGCGACAAGAATGAAGAGTCAGCAAATGGGCCCTCCTAGATGACCACTGCTGTATTTCTGCTTTCTGCTGCTCTTCTCCCCAKGACAGTCAGCAGAGGTCCTATGCTCCACAATAAAAATATCCTGTTCAACTGATGATCTGCTCARTGGCCCAGTCTTTGATGAATGCTCATCAGACTCACCTCTCAATCTAGCCCACGCTCAGGAAAAAGTTGGCAATGTAATTTTGTCTAACAAAAACATGGAATTTTTTTTCCATACAATTTAGCCACTGGAACCAAAAATCTGGTATATCCTACCTCATTGGTCATGGCCTGTAGCTTCTCTGAGGAAACAGCAAAACTGAAAGAGACCCTGCTGAATTTCTCCTTCTCCTTCACATATATTCTGCAAACAGCAGATTCAAGTGSCTGCAATAGTGCAAACAAC